AGTGGCGAGGAGTGTGTATAAAAGATTCAATATGGCATCCAGATGGTTGCAAGGTTTACAGTGGGAATAGCTCTCTGACTTCAGACCTTAACATTTCCCAGACAAAATACCCCTAGATTCAGGCTGAAAACATCTTTAAGCATCAAAAACAAATAGACAAATTGTACACAATTTTAGAAAGAATACACACAAGAAGTTCTATGCAATGACTTTAACAAAACAACATATAGCCAAATGCAAGATTATTTCAAATCAATAAGAAGACATTTATACAGCCTAAAAGAAAATAAGAGCAAGGCAAAAAAGTCATAAATGATATTTTTTCCTAATGTAAAGCAGCCTTCCAAAGTTTGAGGTTTCAAAATTATATATAGGAAATGTTATTTTTTTATGAGTCATCGTGGATGTCAAATTAATTTTTGAAAATTTCATTAAAGAAGAAAAAAGGAGTGCTTGTTTTTCAGTGATTTCTTCTTTTCTTCATTCCCTTTATAATCTTGTGTCCAGATCAACAGGGTTATCATAATTCCTGTGCATGAGTTTGGAGTATTTCCCATTTGAAAATTTGACATGGCAATGCTGACAATCTTCTTTGTACATATCTTTATCGAGATATAAATAAATCTGGAATACAAGCTTTTTTTGAAAATCTTATGACCTAAATGGAATTTACTCAGCAAATATTAAGTATACTTTAATATACTTTACATTTGCTTAATATAGTTAAATCTACCAAATTTTCATGTAGATATTACAATTGATAGTCTTATCATTATATCCTTAAGTTATCATTTAAATATTTCAACAATGATTGTTTCAAAATAGATTTTTCACAATGTATTCAGTTAACATGCTTACTCAATTTTCTTATTAGTGATATATTTTCCATTTTATTTGATAATTTGAAAGTTCTTCATTTTGTAGCAATTTATGTTTAAACACTAAATATGTATTTGCATTTTTCATGGACTGAGTTACAATGTGTATAAAAGCTCTTGACTCTAAGGTGAGTGAAATATGCATACTTAATGTTCTACAGGGAATTTTTCAGATATCAATTAAAAACCTAAGTAATTTGATTATTTGTAGAATCAATACTGTTTTACTGATGAGATAGTGACACAATGTATAGAAGTATGCATAGAAATATAGATTTTTGAAGCAGTGAAAATTTAGACAACACAAATCATCACCTGGAGAATGAATAAAAAAAAGTTTAAATACGCATTCAGTGGATTGCCACAGAAGAGTTGAAATTAATAAAATGTTTGTGTATGTGTTTGTACATACAAAGATAAATACAATGCCAAGCAAAAGATTAAACCTTAGAAGAATATGTCATTTCTTATCACTCTTAAAAGATATAAATAAATATAAAATAATGGATATTTTCATGCCCGTATAGATATGCACTAAAACTAAGAAATCTACCAAACAGTTTCAAGAAATAAGTAAACAAAGTCCATTAATTTAATTCCAAGTTTTCCATAAACATGCTGAACCTTAACTTAAATTCATTTTAAAATAATATCAGAATAGTAAAAAAAATCAGGCATTTTGAATATTAATATACATGAACACTAATATGAATTGATATTGTCTTGAGTAAATTATGATATGATACTAGAATCGAACATAGATACTAGAATCGAACATTGCTTTATTATTTATATTCATTTTAGATTTCAAATATTATATTACAACAATAAAATAAATACACTAGAAGAACTATACTATCTGATAGCAAGAAGGGATTAGATCTCAGTTTAAGTTATTCAGTAAGTCAAGAATATTTAGGTAATGAGGATTTTCATTACATTTTGTGCTCTAGAAATTTTCATTTCATAAGAATATCAAGTTTCATAGGAATGGTGAATAGTTATAGGTTATATAATTTTTCACACACATCTTGTTTAATTGTCAGGTTTAAGTATTTGAGCTTTTAAGTGAAAACTCTGACAGCTAAAAGCTTCCATATAGATAAAAGTTTAAAATACTTTTGAACAAGCAACAATAATTTTACCAAATTGTACCAAATTATGTTGTGCTTTGTAGCTAATACAGTATTGTCCATGTGCATTTTTATCTTCAAGGTAAAGTATTATAAATTATTTTAATTTACAAAGAATATCCCCATTTTACCTGATCACCAAGCAATTGCCAATAACATTTATAGAATATTCAAATTAAGGAAGGAAGAAGTTTGTAATAAGCCTTGAAAAGAGAGCTTGATTTCTGTTTTCATATTGAAAAATGGTGTATGGTAAAACTCAAAAATTTCTGTATCTTGAATGAAAAATTGAATATTAACCTGTTGAAGGAATGCAAACTGAATTTTGACTTGGGACACATCACAGCTAATAAGTGTGCAGATTCTTGCAAAGAACTTTAAAGTTATGACTTCTTACTTGTATTTTTTCCACAGTGTTTGAAAGACTGGCTTGCCTGACCATCTATCCTTTCTCATTTTATATGTCACAATGTAGAAGAATGGCTGCTAACTTCGTGTAGAGCTCGCTCTGACACACTTTACCTTTGATTAATTCAATACATTTTAGGGCCAAAGAGGCAGTCACAAATTCACTCTTAAAAAAATTCCCCAGATTCTTTTTAGTTTTATTTATTTGTTTTGATATTGCATTTATAATTTAAGTTCCATATCACTATTCTTTTTACGTGCATCCTAGTGATAATGCAGGACTCTGATTCCATAGTCATCCATCAACCATTGAGTTATTGTCTGTCTGCTCTGTGTGAGGATTTGTGTTGGGTGGACACTGTGAGAAAAGTAAAAGTAAAATATCTTCAATTTATTGAAGGGAAAGCAAAGAAAACACCAAATAACGATAAAGGATTCACATAATTTTAATGCCTTTTCATCTGCGTGTAGGCTCTGCAAGACCACAATGAAATGTTCTGGAATCACTGCTTGCCATAATGTCACCAGCACTTTCTTATGATCCACGCTATTCAATGCCTTTGCATAACGAACGAGACACGGGCAAAGGTCATTCCGAGACTGCTTCCAGCTAAGATCCATTAGACTTACCGATATTTTCCTTTGTTCCATGTCTTCTCCTAAATCCGACTTGAATTTCGGGCATAATTCTGGAATGAATAAGACACTTTAAAAAGACTTGAAAGGGCTCCTTAATGCCCTCTGACAGATAACATTTCTCTTAATATACAGAAGTTATATGAAGATCTCAGTTCTGGAAGTTGTGCAAGACCTGGTGGTTTTGTAGCCACCGCATGCTCTAGAATGTTTGTGATGCGAGCTATGGATTTGGCATTAGGTATCGAATAGAAACTCACTGTTTTGTTTTTCAGTTCAGATATCTGAATTGATTTAAGGATCTGTGCCTCAAAAAGCGACACACATCTCTTTTTGATTTTCATGTAGTTTAAGACTTAAATAAGTTTTGTTTTTCCCTAACGATGTGTCTTGAAGTAACAAAGTTCTCAGTCATGAACTAACATGTACATTGTTTGTATGTCTATTCTCGGAAGCTGTAACTGCCAACTTCAATTTTGTTCTTAATTTTCTTTGGTGAATCCATAATGACATTTCTGTTACATTTATATTCTCTACACAACCATTAAAATCTGGAGTTACATGACGAAGGACTTCCGATTTTGTTGGTAGTCTCACTTCTTTTTCTGCTCTCGTTTTTGAAACCTCAATTGTGCATTGTCCCGTAGCTGATGGTTTTTTAATATCCCTCTTCATAAATTTCATCTTGACTATGTGTTGGCAAGATACTAGGGAATAGAGACAGATTAGTTAGTATTATTTTTGAGTATTCCTTAACATTAGTTAAGCAATAATAACTACATCAGATACCAATCAGCTCAGGTATTACCCCTATGATAACACAAGAAAGTGGATGGAAAAATCTTCTATACATGTGCCCAGTTAAGCTGTGAAGGAAAATAAATTCACTTAGCTATGTCCAGCATAGAAAGAGGCAGCCCTGCCCCTCTCCTCTCTCAAAAGGTGGAGTGGTGTAGGAAACTGCTCCTTTATGGGGGGGGGGGTGGGGGATATAAAAAGAACACTAAATTCTCAAGCTAACCTGTAGAAATACAAATATCTCTTTCCAGGGCAAACAAGCCTTCTGTGATTCCAGTTTTTATTAAGTAGAGATGCCTTTGAGGTTCTGAGCCTCATTCTTCCTTGAAATGCAAGCTGATACTTCTGAGGCTCTTGCACTATTTCCACAGTTGGGTGTTAACTTTCAAGTGAGTCCTGAAACACACATTTCAAGGAAAATGTATTAATGAAGCTCCAACTCTATCTAACCACAGAATACTTTATCCAAACTTCAGAACTATAAAATATAATAAGATTTATAATCTTTTTCTGTGAGGGTTTTTGAAATGTGGCCTTTTACTAGAGCAGATAAAATGTGATATTCTAGGATCACTGTCATATTACCTCTAAATAAAACATTTTAAAAATAAAATGATGATGGCAACATATGCACAAATGTGTTTGATACGATTGATAAATGGATTATTATAAGTCCCCAATAAAATGATTAATAAAAAATAAAAAAAATACAGTATTTTACTTTCCTCCAAGACTATAAAAGTAAAGCCTCTAAAGTCCTATTTGAAGACACCATACTTGTTACTCAGTGGTTATATATTTATATATTTAACCTATTTTTAAAAGTTATAATTAAATCCTAGTTTCTCTAATGTAATGTTAGTTGTAAATTACGTGATGCAGGCAGAGAGCTTAATAGTATAACAAACCACTAGATTGCCATATAGGCCACAGAGTGTCCTTAATAAATTTAAAATATATGAAAAACTCTCATTGTCAAAAACACTCTCTATGGGGATTCTATACTGTTAGACGTACACATGACATGTATAATAAAAATGGAAATAAATACATAATCATATTTAAAATCACAATGGAAATGATTTTTTTTAAGTCTGCTGGTTAAATTGTGTCTTTTGTTTTCACTCTCTTTCTGTCTTCCTTACAGGTTTTGAACTTTCACATTGTGAAGACCCTGGAATTCCACAATTTGGATACAAGATCAGCGATCAAGGCCACTTTGCTGGGAGCACCATCATTTACGGGTGCAATCCTGGCTACACTCTCCATGGAAGCAGCCTTCTCAAGTGCATGACAGGCGAGAGAAGGGCATGGGATTATCCTCTGCCTTCCTGTATCGGTAAGATAGTCTTTGGAATTTATGGATTGGTATTTCTGTGTAAATGTTCTAAAAATACAATGCACATTTTAAGGGGTCCCATAAACATGTACACGCTTTGCACCATGAATTAAGAAATTAATGGACTCAACTTTGTTTTAGTTTTCAAAAGTAAAGCCGTGGAACATTAAGGTCCTTTTTTACAATTTTATTAATGAGAAGGTTATTTATGTTATTGGGTACAATACGATCTATATGAAGTGATTTTTTTCCCTCTCATCTTGATATACAGTTCAACCTAGTAAAAATATGTGAAGAAACTTAATTACGTTGAATCACATTGACCATATCTGTTATAATTCTTAAATGGCTGTCTATCCTGTAAAAAGATGGATTTTTAAAAAGTGAATGATTCCACAAGATGTTTTTAAAATCTATATATGTGTACCTTTTGAGAGTATATTTAAGAAAATATGTGTTGCATAGCAACCAACCAAAAAACCCCAAGCTCACTGCCATCGAGTAAATTCTGACTTATAGGACCAAGTAGAACTCCCCCCTTTGAGTTTCCAAGACTGTGATTTTTACGGGAGTAGAAAGCCTCATCTTTCTAGCAAGGAGCAGCTCCTGGTTTTAAACTGCTGACCTTGTGGTTAGTAGCTCAATGTTTAATCACTCCACCATCAAGACTCCTTTTTGCATAACAAATGCAACACATTTTAATAAGAGGGGAAATGTGAGAACCAATAATTGAAGTTTTATTGCTCTCCAAAGCTATAAAATTATTATTCTCCTCTAATTCACGTACTTAGGGTACTAGTCTTTTTTTATCATCTTGTAATCAATTAATGAATGTCTGGGAATGCTGGATAGGAGGGTGGAGAGACAAGTGTTAATAGAGCCGCTGCTTTTTCAGTGCCTGCTCCAAGGGTCAAACATGGGGTCAAGAGGAAACTAGGTCAACAAACGAAAATGTGACACCTGCTTTAATATGAAGCCAACAAGCAGTACTTCAGTCACTTTTATTTTTTGATGGTATTTATCAGAGCCAAAATCATTTTGTTTAGGCCCACATGAATAAAATTGGCTGGAAGCTTTGGAAATTCATTTTAAAGATGCCAATATTTGTTACCCAATGTGGTCAACACAGGAATAGCTACCAAACCTGCTAGAAGGGAAAGTAGAACAAGGTCAAAGTTTAATCATTATACGTCTTGTAACCAATTTCATAATGTTGCTAATTTTGAGTCCTTGATTGATTTATAGAAGCCCTGATTCACAAAAAATATATAGAGTTATTCTTTATTCTCTTCTTCAGCATCTTATTTTATTTGAACAGTCTTATTGGCACATGTCATGTATCATATAATTTAATAGTCCAGTCACATCAAGAAGAACTGTACAATCATCACCCCAATTCTTCCCATACCCCAAGGAACAATGAATCCAGGACTGTCTCTGTAGATTTATCTTCCCTAGATTTCATTCATAGAAAGATACTTAGAAACAAAACCCGTGACAACACTAACCTAGAAACAAAACTAGAAGCAAAAACTAGTAACAATAACAAAGTAGAATGGAACCTCATTCTAAATGAATATTAAAAACTAGAACACATTTAAAATGAATTAAAAGGAGATCAAATTATAAGTTGTTGAATTTTAACTTAATTGCATCTGCAATAATCCACTCTCCAACATTCTGCAGGATAACAGGCCTGTTCACATCCCTGGTCCATGGTCAGAAGGGACTCACCAGAGGCTTAATCCACGCGTATTTCCTCTTGATTTTTTTTTTAAGTGAAACAATTTTGAAATGGGTTAAAAGGGAGATCAAATGATAAGATATTATATTTTAACCTAACTATGTTTTCCAGAACCACCTTTACAATGCTTTCTGTCTGGTAACAAGACAGTTCACATCCCTCCACTAGGATCAGAGGCATTGCTTCGGAGCTATCCTCCATGCGTGGACCCTAACAAATAGAGTTTGGTCTTCCACTGTCATCGAGAGTTTCTGCCACAAAAATTTCTGTATATGTTTTTTGCATTCTGCATAGATTATGAAGGTGATATCTAAAATAGCAATCTGCCCCAAAGTCAAAGCTTTGGGAGGCTTCTGGAATATGATCAAATATCAACTCATTGACATTAGTTTTACCAAAAAAAGTACCACTAATTGACTCTTCAGAGGGTGTATTATTACTTTTTTCTATTTAATACAAATGACTTTTTTTCTTTTTGATATCCTTATGAAATATTTTTAATGAAGGAAGAAAAGATGCAATCACATAAAACTATGAAGTTCACACTATTGGGTTCTCATTCTGTCTAAAAAATGATAAAATATGTACATTAAAATAATAAATCTGTGATATGTGTTGATATACTGAAGATATTATATTTTAGAAATATTTATGGAAATTGAAAGATGTCATTTGGGGATATGAATATTTTAATGACTATTACAATAAAAAGATGCTTTTATTGTAAAAATAGAAGAAATGTATTGATGTAAAAATGACACCAATAAGATGATTTTATGTTTACAAGTCTCCTAAATTAAAACTTATTGACTTAATACTGCTTAAGACTTCCTGGGGAGAGTAAACCTCTTTTTTATTCCATGGGAGATGATGAAAAATTACAACTGTAAATAGTTGGGCACTCTGTGTCTGGTATATGATGCTGATAATTCCCATGATTATAAGCATAAAAAGCCAAACCCATTGCTATCAAGTAGATGGCAGCTCGTAATGATCCTATGGGGCCTGGTGAGACTGCGCCTGTGGATTTCTGAAGACAGTACCTCTTTACAGAAATAGAAAGCCTTGTCTTTCTCCTCAGATCGGCTGATGGTTTCAAGCTATGGACTTTGAGATTAGTCACCCAACACACAACCATTACACAACCAGGGCTAGGATGATTATAGAAAATTAAATTCTATTAGAGATACTTTTTCTTTGGATATTTCTTCATATATTTGTCACCTAGTTAAGATTTTTATATTTGTGTGCATAGGCTTATTAACCTTAAGCACTTATTGTGCCTATATTTCTGCCTCTGTCCATTAAAATATTTTTCAATTCTTTGGATTGGTTCTTAGAAATCATGTTTCTGAAGCGTGTACACTCATAAAACCAATTTAAGGACTGAAGCATGATAGCTGGAGAGAATTCGCCTGCGTCCTCGCTGTCTTTCATTTGTGCTTTGCAAATACAAGAGTTTCCTGTCAGGCTGTGACCTCCAGTGTTAAATCATATCACACTGACTCCTTTAAGCTCAACATGTCAAGTAACATTTGTTTCATCGACATAATATAGATAAAAATATTGACACAATAAGTCTTTAAAGTTAATAAGCATATGCATACTGATATAAAAATCTTAGGTAAGTGACAAAGATATTAAGAGCTTTCTGTAGAAAAAAAATCTATAATAGAGTATATTAAATTCAAATTTGACCTGAAAATAATTGAACATTTACTTGGAGGTAAAAATTGGTTCATATATTGAGGGAATCCCAAATAGTTATACACATATAGAAATATTGCACAGAATCACATAGATCTAGTTTGTTACCAACTTTTTAACAAATCAAACAAACCAAACTAAATAAGAAAAACATGGTGATTGTAACGACTAATTCTATACACTTAAAATGCATCTGGATTTGTTATTTATAAACAAAAGTGCTGTAGTCTTTTATAGGACATGTTTATGGCACAATGTCTGTGAAGACATTTACATATGTGAATAGAGTTAACAAAGTTGAGCCATTAAATTCCAGTGTCATTAGGCACCTTCCAAATGTTAAAAAGAAAAAATATTGTCTTTGATGTTCTTTGGCATATTAATAATAAAACCAACTTGATTCTGTTATTAATCTAGTGCAGAGAACAACAATAATGCATATATTCATTCATCAAATATTTAAGAAAAATATACAATGTATCTTTGTTAGTTTGTATAGACATAGGTTAATTTAAGATATTATTCAAATATATTAATGTATTATCAACCACTTGTCTCCTAGTCTGTTGCACTGTGGGGGACTGAGTTGTAATGGGATACAGGAAACTGAATCACTGGCATGGCAAATACCAGCAGGGTCATCCAGAGTGAACAGGTTTTAGCAGAGCTTCCAGCCTGAGAACAGACAATAAAGTTGGAACAGGCTGTCCACGTCAGAGGAATTAGCCACTGAAAATCTTACGGGTAGCAGGGAAACATTGCCAGATACTGAAAACCTCCTGAGTAACAATAGACCATTGTCAGAAATAGTATCAGGAGATGACCCCTCAGGGCAGAAGGCACTCAAAACATGGCTGGGGAAGCTACCTTCTCAAAGTCAAGTCCACCGTAATGAACCACGTGGAGTAAATCCGGAGGGCGAATGTCATTTGGGACCTTCATTTGCTCAGAGGCCATGACTCAAAATGAAAAGAAAGAGCTGCAAACATCAATTACTAATTAGAACTTGGAATACATGAAGTATGAATTTAGGGAAATAGGCAGTCATCAAAAATGAAATGGAATGAAAAAGATATGGACTCCAGGCACTCATGACCCAAAATGGACTGGCAGGGGCCAGGAATTCATGTGATTTTCTATGCTGAGAATGACTAATTTAAAAGGAATGACATCATCACAAGATTTCAAGATTTATTTTAAAATGAAATGCATGCAATAATATGTATCTGCATACAAGGAAACCCAGTCAATACAATACAATTATTATCCAAATGTATTCCCCAACCAGTAACAATGCTGATGCAGAAATTGAAGAATTCTACCAACATCTTCAGCCTGAAAATGTCAAATATGCAATCAAAATGCATTGATAAATACTGCTGATTAGAATGAGTAAGTTGGAAACAAAGAAGGAACAGTAGTTGGAATGTATAGTCTTGGTAACAGAAACAAAGCTGTAGATTGCATAATAGGATTTTGCAAGACCAACGATTTGTTCATAGCCAAAAACCTCTGTTTCAATAACAGAAATGACAAGTATACCAATGTTTTTCTCCATTGTAATACACAGAAATAAAACTGATTGCATCGGGTAGCTATGCATTGGCATCCACTTGATTGCAGTGAGTTTGGTGTAAGGGGAACGATGGATAAGTTAATATCAGCAGCTGGAACCAAGCCAGGTGCCAACTGTGGAACAGACCACAAATTGCTTATATGTCAGGTCCGGTTGAAATGGAAGAAATGGAAACAAGTCCAAAAGAACCTAAGGAGTTAAACAGGGCCTTGAGTCTATCACTTGAGTTTCAAGAACATCTCACGAACAGATTTGATGCATTGAACACTAATGTGAGAACACCTGATGATCTGTGGGATGACATTAAGAATATCATACAGGAAGAAAATAAAAGTTCATTAAAAAGGCAGGAAAGAATGTCAAGATCAAAATGCATAGAGACCCTGAACTTGCGCTTCTCATAGAGTAGTTATGACCAATACAAGAAATGATGAAAAAAACCTGGACAGAAAATGTCAATGGGAATCTCAAGAAGCCCAAGTACATATTACAATCAAATATTATAAAAATTTAGAGTTAAAAAACCTTAATAAAAAAAACGCAAGCCTTAATTTGCAATATTGAAAGATTCTATGGACACAATATTGGATGATGCGGAAAGCTTCAAAAGTGAATGGAGAAAGTACACAGAGCCACTGTTCCACAAATAACAAATTAAAGTTCGACTATTTCAAGAGTAGGGTATAAGCAAGAATCAGTTGCACTGAAAGAAGTCTAAGCTACACTGAAAGCATTAGATAAAAACAAGGCTGCAGGATTGACAGAATGCCAAGTCAAATGCTTCCACGAGCTGGCGGAGCACTGGAAGCACTCATTCATCTATGCCAAATTTGGAAGACAGCATCTTGGTCAATGGACTAGAAGAGATCTGTGCCCTTGCCAAAGAAAGTTGACCATGCAAAATGTCCAACTTATAGAACAATGTCCTTAATATCACATGCAAGTAAAAATTTCCTGAGGATCATCCCTAGGGTTGCAGCAGTGCATTAACAAGGTGTTGCCAGAAATTCAGATTAAATTCAGAAAAAGATATGGAACAAAGAATATTATTGCTGATGTGGATCATAACAAACTATGGATTGTCTTAAGAAAAATGGAAATTCTAATACACTTCATTGTGCTCTTGCTGAACTTGGACATGGAAAAAAGAGGCAGTTGTATGACTAGAACAAGGAAATACTACATAGTTTAAAATCCGGAAGTTGTTTGTTAGGGTTGTGTCTCTTCACCATACTTAATCTGTATGCTGAGCAAATCACCAGAGAAGCTCTATTATGTGAGAAATTATGAGACATCAGTATTGGAGGGAGTATTAGTAACAACCTGTGACTTGTACATTCCATGATCCTTCTTGCCGAAAATGGGAAGGACCTGGAGTACTTGCTGACAAAGATCAAGAATTGCAGCATTGAGTATGGATTACATATCAATACAAAGCAAATCAAAATCCTTACAACTGGACAACAGATCCAGGTTCTTCCTGCTAAATGAAGAAAAAAATTAAAGTTCTCAAGGATTTCATTGTGTTTAGATTTACAATCAATGCTCATGGAAGCAGTGGTCAAGAGATCAAAGGACACATCGCATTGGGTATATCTGTTGCACAAAATGTTGTCAAGTGTTGAAAAGCAAAGATGTCACTTTGAGGACTAAGTTCTGCCTGACCCAAACCATCGTATTTTCAATTGCTTCATAGGCATGTGAAAATTGGACATTGAATAAGAAAGACCGAGGGACAACCGAGGCATTTGATCTCTGGTGTTGGTGAAGAATATCGAAAGTACCTCGGAGTACCAAAAGAACCACTAGTTCTCTACTGGAACAAGGATAGTCAGAATGCTCCATAAAGCAAGGATGGGAAGACTGGGTCCATGCCCTTTAAACATGCTTCCCAGGGCTACCTGTTCCTGGAGGAGGACCTCATGCTAAGTAAAGCGGAAGAGCGGTGAAAAAGAAGAAAACCCTCCCCATGATGGATTGACACAGTGACTTCAACAATGGACTCATTGAGACTCTCATTGAACTCTCATTGGACTCTCACTTCTGAGAATGATGCAGAGTTGAGCACTGCTTCATTTTGTTGTACACAGGTCACTCCGAGTGGGAACCAGCTGTGCTGGAAGAGCAGCAACCACGTCCTACTATGATTTGTTTTTCTTTCAGGAAATGTAGTCGAGCTTACCCAGTTCATCTTCTTCAAAGTCCCTCTTACCAGCCTTGGTTAATAAGGCAAAGTTGCATTTGAATTTCTTTTCTTCTACAGTAAGTGCCTTTGAGTAAGAAAAAAGTAGACCATTAGATTTCCTTTATTGCACAAAGCAACACAAGTTGAAGCTATTCTTGACCCTCAAACCTTGGATTTCCATCGTTTTGCTTTGTGAAATTCTCATGTATGAGTGCTTCCAGTTACTGGGATTTTCTGTGTGACCAACAAAGCTGGTGTAGTACTGGGCAGGGTTATGTCATTTACAGGGTTATGTCGCTATGAGTCAGAAATGACTTGATGGCGCCTAACAACAACAGCATGGTGCATTATACTGTTTTCTTTCTAGGGTTTAGATGCAGTTACTGAATGATGCATGTACCAAAATACTCAGTGTCTCTCTTCTCCAGTACAGAGACTTATTTCCAGATTGACTGTTCTCCAAAGTAAAATCGCTTCAGAGATCCCACCCAATATTAACAAGCAGTCTTAAATGTGGTGGTGGCGGGAGAATTCCCCAACAGAAACATAGTGTATGATATTCTGGGATAACCCTTACATATGTGTTGATAAGTTTTTAATAAACATTAAAGAACACATTAAATCAAAGCCAAAGTAGACTAAGCTGGAGTAAGATGCTGAATGAAAATGCCACTTAGGTCTTTCAGAGGCTAAAAGGGAAAGAGTTTAGAATGATTTAAAGTGGGAATAAAAGGACAATGAAATTTAGTAGGCCTGAGGGATTGTCATAATGATTAGTTTCTCTCAGAGGTAGGGTAGCCAGATGATGAATATTCAGCTTGCAACCAACTAACTGTGAAAAATGTGCCATCTGTTTTCCTGTTTTAATTATCGTTATTTAACAACACATCTTAAACTATTTGGAAGACTAAACTCAGAGTCTGAGTGTATTCTTTTTTTTAATCTCCTAATTAGGCTTGTTTTATTTTCTTTTATCGATAGGACTTGAGACAGTCTTAGGTTTTTGTGTAGTACATTCTTGCTTGAATCTTACCTTACACTGAAGAGATTTACATACATTCATACATTCAAGATGAAGAAAAACACCAATTCTATTTCCTTTCATGGGACAAACGCACACTCCCAAAACTGTGTAGTCATTTGTAAAGACTAGCAGTACATTCTGACTCTTTATTGTTATTTCTACCAGCTGAATGCGGAGGTCGTTTTAAAGGAGAATCATCAGGAAGAATCTTATCTCCCGGTTACCCCTTCCCATATGACAATAATTTGCGCTGTATGTGGATGATTGAGGTAGATCCAGGTAACATTGTCAGGTAAATGGATTTTATTTTCTCAAAATTACTGTCTTTCTTATTGGGGCAAAAAAAGAAGAAAGAAAACGGATTTTCCTGATTAAAACTTACATATACTATCAATCAATATCTTTTAGTATTATTAACAGCAAGAGACTAGTGGACACTTTTGTATTTCTAATAGGAAACAGTATTCATTAGCATTATTTATTGATGGACAGATCACTGAGGTTGCTCCTCTAACTCAGAGTGAAGCTGCTGCTGTTTACTTGTGAGAGGACACAGCAGGTGGGAAGTTCTTCTCGTGGACTCTGCTCTTTTCATTCTTGATTGGAGGTGCGGGAGTTCACTCATTTGACAAATACACAAACGTCTGCAGCTACCTGCCCTGAGGTCATCCTCACAGAAAGGTGAAAAGAAGCTAAAGTAAAAGGAGACTGGCAACTGCCTGGCACCTTTCTGAACATCTGTTTTCTGCTCATTCAACTGGTTTTGCATTCTCTTACCTTAGGTGGTGAGTTCCTTTAGGAAGTTCAAAACAACTCCAAGTGTTGCTCTTTAGATGAGGGCAGACCGCCACTCTGACATCCTTAACATCAGTTGGCTTTCTCAGACTGTCGCATGCGCTAGTCCCCGAGTTTACTATTGAGGCAATTGCTGGGAATGATGGAAGACATGAACAAATTCTCCGTGATATGTGAATTAGTTTGCTGCTCACAAACACTAAGGTTGGACTTTTGGAAGGTTGCTGGGTGGTGATGATTGTTATGGACGGACACCCTCTTTTACTCAATCACAAACTGAGCAGTACAATCTCCATACTTGGTTGAAAGCAATGTGAACTGGTGCATTGATTTTGTAGGAAAATTCCCTCACAAAACTCAAGCTAGACCTCACTGGATATATATGCTCAGCGTATTTCTCATCAGGCTACTTGACATGTTGTTTACTTTAAATAATAGAATTAGTAAAGGTAAAAAAAATTATGTTTGAAGGGGACAAATGATGCTATCTCATTTAAGAATACGATTTGATTTTAACTTGCTTTCTAAATGTGAAGTTGTTCTAATTCACATATCATGTAATATTATGGTATATATGTTATATACCATATATATATATGGAGACTTAAGCATATTGAAATAATTGGATTTCTGTTACTTGTCACCAAATACAAAAATAGCAGCTATGTAGTCACCAATTTTGTCCAGATCAGACATAAAACTGACTGTAGTTAATAAAATAATAAAAGTAGTAAAGTATATACTATGAATTCAGAAAATTTGAGTTCAAATCATGACTATCACCCTTTGGGAAATATAAATCTTATGTGCTTTACCTTTAAAAGTTGAGTTAACAAATCAATTAGCTTCAGTGAGTTCCTAAAAAGTTTAAGGAAGAAAATATATGGCATGTTTAGCTGTACAAGATGTTCTGACAGTGCCTGACCACACAAGAAGCTCTAGAATGTCATTGGCTATCACTATAATTAAAGTTCATGAACACTGAACAAAAGAGTGTTTACCCCAAATTCCTGTAATCTTTCAAGGTAATGTAATTGCGAACTTTACCATATTATAAAGAAATAAATTCTACTTTTCAAGAAAAAGATCTTTAAGATTATATACAAGGAAAAATCAAAATTATTGCCACCAACACATAAAAACCTTGACTACACAAAAGTATCAAAATGTGAAGCGATTCTTTCTTGACAAAACCTCCATCTAGTTATTTATACTTTTGAAAGCCATGTCTCCCTCTCTAACCCTTCCCTGAAGAATTCTACACTGGTTGATTAACAACACATCAAACTGGCTGTTTTATCCCCCACAGAGGGGCCACAGGGAAGGGATGAGTCACTAAGGTGCAGTAAAGCATCGATAAAGCACACAATATTCCTCTAACTCTGTGAGGCTTCCTCATCCCCCACTATTGTGACCCCAGTGCTGCCTCTCAATTCAGACTAGACTGGGGGGATGTACGCAGGTATAATAGATAAGAGATGGGAACTCACAGCACACAGAATCCAGGGACAGGAGGAGAAATAGTGATACCAGAAGGTAGGGGGAAGGGGGAGGGAGGCAGAAAGGGTAAAATTGCAATGATAGACACCCAACCATACAGCCCTCTCCAGAGGAAAGAACAACAGAAAACATGGGGGAAGGGAGACAGCGGGTGGTGTGAGATATGAAAATAATAATAATTTAGACTCTATCAAGGGGCCATGAGGGTGGGGGAAGGGATAAAAAGAGGAGCTGATACCAAGTGCTCAATAGAAAGTAAATGTCTAGAAAAGAATGAAGGCAACATATGTACAAACATGCCTGATGCCATCAATGTATGGATTGTAACAAGAGTTGTAAGAGCCCCCAATAAAATGATCTTTTATGTAAAAAAAAAAAAAAAAAAAAAAGGGCTGTTTTGCCAAATCTGGGAATACAAATTGCATTCTTTTCCAAGATGCTTTGCTTTGAAGGAACAAAAAGAAACAGAAAGGACAGGATCCATGATGTAGGGCAGATGGAGTAAAGTTTGCCAGTGAAATTCATCTAGGATAGCTCGTTGCTACCCTTGAAGCAGGAGCAGATCCGCAGTCATGTGGTGAACATATATATATATTTGGTGGTACTTACTGACTTTCTCCACCAATGTCGTTTTCTAAAAGCATCATGATAAGCCCTCAAGACAGCTTTGTCTTTTCAGAAAATATATCCAGATTACCCCTTTGGGATCCCCAAAGGCAGTCTCTTTAGATGTCTGAGCAGACTTCTCTGCCTTGAATTTGCAGTTCCCCTCAGAAGCCACTGCCTCAAGTGGGCCTTCTTTTGAAACTAAGACAAGAGTATTGTTCATGGAATTGATCTGCAGCCATTCACTAATTACCGGGACATTTTTTAACAAGTTTTGTTTGAAATAAACATTTTCATATTTGAATTCGACCCCTAGTCGCAATACCTGTTGACTTAACATCATTCATGTACTGTATATGTATTGTGTTTGCATATATATATACCACATGATTATAGATAGTATGTTGTTCACATACTGTAGCTAGCGTACAAGGAATAGCTAACAAAAGCTAAATTGCACTTAAAATTTCTATTCCATTTTGAAATTTAATGCTTGTTTAAAATAATCAAACAGCTATATGATTTTCCCACAGCCTACAATTTCTTGCTTTTGATACGGAAGCATCACATGACATACTCCGAGTGTGGGATGGACCGCCTGAAAATGAGATGCTCTTAAAGGAAATCAGTGGATCTCTGATTCCAGAAGGAATTCATAGCACGCTCAACATAGTAACCATCCAGTTTGACACGGATTTTTATATCAGCAAGTCTGGATTTGCAATTCAGTTTTCAAGTAAGTTATTATTCCTTAATTATAAATATACATGTCACTTAAATAGTCCTGGAAATTTAGCAATTCGAAAATTATTTCCTTTACTCTTCATTCCATTTTGCAGTTAAGTTAAAATATACCTGGACAGAAAGTTAGATTAAAATACCCATTGCTGGGATTTTAGTAGCTTTTCTCCAATTGCCAAACAGATTATTATTAAAATAAGGGTGGTGGGATAATAATTTGGCCTATAGAATAATTAAATGATATATCTTATAATTTTTACATGCCATAAAACTATATTTTAAAGTGAGAAGTTAGTTTTAGTTTATGAAGGAAATAAATCTCTGCAATTACAAAAAAATAAAGTATAACATCAACCCAAAACCCCATATATTTTATTAAAGTTACTTTTCCTTTCTTAATGATCATAATTATATATCAACAGATATATTTGACGAAATATTTATGATATACTTTTAAATTCAAGATTTCCTAAAATGACATTGATCATAGGTAATTATCAGTATTCATGGTTTCTCTTTTAATGAAACTGCTAAATGGATAATATATATGTTGTTCTATGAACGAGATTTTGGCTCTAGTAGCTTGAAAAAATTAAAGAAAATGTAAAACTTTTAAGCATTACTTTTATTTGTTTAGCCAACATGCATTACGTCATTAAGAAAATTATCCAATGAATCCCTTATAAACTCCTGTTAACAAAATTATATCAAAAATTATAAGATCATTAGTAGCAAAATAGTAACAACCAGAATGCTTCAGATATGCCAGATTCAAATCCTGCTCTACTTACCTATAGCTACCTTACAACATCTTAAGACCCCTCAAGTTGAGTTGAGCTACTTAGTCAACAAAAGAATAATACTCATCTCATAAATAGGTTATTTGGATATAATATGATTGTATTATGTAGTTCTTGCTATAGAATATTTTTGATATCCAATAAATTATTATCTAGTTGGAAGAATATCAAAGGGAATGATTTGAAAAATCATAAAAAGTACTGGGAAAAGCACTAAGGGGTTGACAAAAGTGACAAGCACAAATACATTGATTTGTGTCACATAAGCCAAGCTCATGGTAAAGACAAATGCATTGACTTAGAAGAGCCAATATCAATTTTCATTTTAATAGATTTTTTGATGTAAAAAATAAAAAAGAGTGACAAGAAAATAATCATAATTGGTGAATACAATTGGATTCTATTTCAGAAACATTTGCAAATATAACAATTCTTTGTGCCTCTTTCTTCTTTTGTTTTTAATTTCTTTTATTTTTGAATTAGGAATCATTTGTCATGAATTGCTATTCAATTTCCACTCTTCTTAGTGGTAGTTTGCCAACCAAAAATTCTTCTATTCTCTATTATCTTTAATAGTATTTTGTTTCAGCAGTTTAAAATTGTATTTTAATTAAATTTACCTACAGTCATGAAAAAGGTGCTTCAGGTGAATGTTAATGGCAAAGCTCACCCATGTAATATAAACAAACCACTTTTTGGGGGTAGGGGTCTCTTTCCAAGCATTTTTATTGAGAATTTGCCTGGGAAGTTAGCATTCCATTTTTACATTTACTGTATTTATGGAATATGCTAAATATAGTGAAACAAAATATATCCTAGCAAAACTTTTAATAATTCTACCTTAATAATATTATTTTAAGATGCCTAGAAATCTATGCTACAGATCTGAGACTAAAATCTATCTACTGATATATTTTCTTTAAAGCTTAATACATTGTAAATGTCATAATTAATGAAATCAAAGTTATGATTAGAGATCTTATATAACACACAGAAATATTTCTTTATACTATCTTTATTTAGTGGGGAAATGTTATTTTTATGAATGATATCTTTTTTAGATGCCAAGAATCATATGAAGACTTTATATCCACAATTTTATTTGATATGCAAAAAAATATAAATTTATTGCAAAAATAAATATCTGAGAATCAAAGAATTCAGTACATTTGGTTAAGGTTGTGTTGCCAGCAGATATCTACAACCGTTATTTAAATCCACACCTGTTTGAAAGGAACTGAACACTGTGTTTGGGAGGTAGTGGTTAACGTTTGTTAACGTTTGTTACTGTTATTAAATACAAATCCGTGCCAGCGAATCAATTCTAACTCATAGCAATTCTAACTCATAGCAAGCCTACAGCATAGAAAATGCTCATCTGGTTTCCAAGGCCATAAATCTTCATGCAAGGAGAAAGCCCATCTTTCTCTCCATGGTGACTACATGAGCAGTGGTCCTTTTTAGTTGTTTTTTTTAAATGCATATACCTATAATAATGATAGTATAATAATAATGGTCACTGTTAATATCAGTCAATATTATTTAATAGTCACTGTCATTATTATGCTACTGTTATTATGGTAGGTTTATATATTTGTAGGCTATAAGAAGTAAAGTTCTTAGTTGAATATTATTTGTTTCACAGTTTTATGAGTTGTGTATTGTTAGTGAAGTTTGACACCATTTTCAACTTGACCTCTGATGATGATCACTAATACCACATCCAAGCTGGCACTTCCAAAAAGCGATGAGTCATCCAAGGGAAACCGTGAGGCGGAATGATGGAAAAAGTTGGCGAGCATGAAGTGCTTCCCCGCATAAAAGAGACAGCTGCCCTCTCACTCTATCATTTTGCTCAGTGTGAAAACAGGCTACTTTTCAAGTGAAATCTAGAATATCTTTTAAGAAAAGAAAGTGAGTTCCTTTAAAAATTAAGCTGGAATGACAGGAATAAGCCTGTGTGGTCAAAGGAAAATAAGCAAGTGGTTAACTTAATCATACCATACTTCAGTTCTATCCACCCTCCACCTGCATTCATTCATCCTTGATCATAGACCAGCTGTTGCTTATTGAGTGTTAAAATAATAATAATAATAATAATAATGAATGTTCCAGATATCAGGAGCAGACTAATCTTCAGCAGATGAGCTCAACCAAAAAAATGTATTTTACTGAACTTGGCAGAAAGTGATTTCAACTAGCATGTCATTCATATACCAACTTTATACTATTCATCATCAAGCTGCTATCAATAGCCTCATGTCTTCTGTTTCATGATCTATTCATTTTCTTGACTCTGTCAGTTTGCCTTTGCCTCTTGGTTGGGTTGTCTGTGAGACTCTTGCTTCATCAGAGCTGTTTCAGTCTGACCCCCTCCCGTCCTGCAGGCTGCTGTGCTGTCCTTCCTTCTTGCTTCATCAGGGCTGTTTCAGTCTGACCCCCTCCCCTCCTGCAGGCTGCTGTGCTGTCCTTCCTGCACAGCAGTCAGCCTTGCTGGCCCCTGCTTACATTTGTGATCTGTGGTCTGGTTCCACAGGGAGGACATCATGGGTATCATGCTGTCATTTGCTAGAAGAATAGTTGATTTCGACAGAGCATTTTCTGTATTCATCACTCTTTGACCTCACTTAAGAAATTGTCCTTGCTGAAGAATAAAAACATGAAGACCCCTCACTTATGCTCTTGAAAATTCTCAAAAAAATGGATACATTAGCCAAGAGAGGCGAAAGTCTCCAACCTTAAAGGGCCACATGGTGCCCTGGTCTTCATTATTGGTTACGCACGACTGTAACAGCAGCTAGCCACTCACTTCATCACCCCTACAGCCAAGCGGTTCTTCCAGTTGACACCTGAGTGATCATTCTAACATATATCGGAAACCACGTCCCTATTTAAAATTTTTGAATGGCTACCCAGTCCTACATTCAAATTCTTTGCATTGAATCCCCTTACAGTTTGGATCCAACCTTCCTGCCAGCCTTGCCTCTCACTATTCAGTAACAGACATTCAGCCCTGTAACTAACCACCCTGTCTACAAAGTTCTCTCATATTTATGCATCTTTTGAAACTCTCTTTCATATTACTGGAACAGCATGCTAGCTTTCAAAATTTATGAACTCAATAATTTTTTCTTTGCCGAAGCTAAATCACCAGTGGATTTTCTGAACAGAATGCTTTCTCACTAGGCAAGAATTAGATTGGAATGAACATATGTCCTCCTGGTCCCAGGGCAGTCCTGTGCATATCTTATTATCCTAGACCCCTGAATGGTTTGACCGATGTTTTCCAAGTATTTTGGTGACTATTTCTATTAAAATTAGCCAGGGTGTATTTGATACACCTCTACTTTCTATTTGTTCTCAGCTAATAGTGTGTAAGCAGACTTGAAAGCAAATAACAAGTAGTGTTGTGTGAGATGTTTGTAGATATGTTCAGAGTAATTATAGTACATGATGCTTAGAAGACATATTCTGATAATCCAGCTCTTTTCCCCAACTTTTTGCTCATTCCATGGTTTACACCTTGCTTTCATGTAGGAAGACCCTTGCAAATAAAGTTAATTGTTCTCAAATATGAATATCTAACCCTTTTCAATCTTGGATGGTAGTGGAAGAGGTTTTTCATTCTGTCAACCAGATAACAATTTTTAAAATCAGTCAGTTGAATCATAGTATTTGGAAATCTACACAAAGATCCCTGGCCATGAACCAACAGAATTAGTAGGCAAGATAAGATACCTTTTCCAAAATAATGTACCAGAGCCAAGCAGATCTGGTATTGAACTATAGTCTGAATGCCTTTGACATAATTCCTCTTGTCATTTATCTTATAGGATAAATTCATACCTATGTTGTTGTATTATTTATTATTTTGAAATAGGGAGCAAGGTAATTTTGAAAAGTACATGCATAATAAAAAGGACAGATTTTATATTCATTTCTTAAGATATCTGCTTCCACAAAGGTGCTGAAGAAGATCAGTCGTGAAGGGTTTGTGAAGAAAAGCACAGGCAGAGATCAAGCAGGGTGACATATATGTTCACATGTCAACTTACTTAGCAGAACTTCACCAATAATTGGATGAGTTAAATTTTACATTAGTGTCATCAGCTGCTTCAAGCAAAAATAAGTTCTATTCATTCCCATGAAAGTTTGTTTTTTAACATTCACTTCATAAAAATCATATTAAAATTTT